CGCAGAGTAGCTGCATGCCGCAATGTTTTGTTTTTTCTCGTTGATTAACATCTGAAATAACTGAAATCAAACATGTACACAACGCCCTTACTAGCAGTGCTCTCTGGCGACGAAGAATGATACACTTTACCTGACGGGTCGCGTGAGTTGCGCCCTCCACGGTGCCCCAAACCCAGCAAGTGATCTCTGATGCCGTTCGGCCGGCGAGGGCACCATTCTCGCCTACATGTCAGGCTAATAATGGTATATATACAACATGGAGGTAATTGATATAATGCAGTTTGAGCCAAATTCAAATTCTACTTCTAATTGGCATGTTTATTTTACATATATGCAATGCATTATGAGACCAGTTATTGGAAAAAATATTATCACCATGGAAACTCAGTAAATTATATGGCACTTTTTTAAAATGATTTCACAATGTAGGATTCATGCAATAGTAATAAATGATTTCTCATTCCTATCAACGAGCAAAAAGAAATGAAAAAAAAAATAATTTCACTTTAGAAATTTTACAATTTGCCAAGGCATTTTGGACTTAAAAAGATCTAGTGGCCCATTTTTTTTTTCCATTTTCGGTATCCTGTATGTAATTATGACGAACATCTTGAATTCGACTCGAAATTCATTAGTACGTCTCAGTTTTCAGGGTTTTTTTTCATTGCCGCATTGCATTAAGAGTATGCATGTACGAGAAACGGAAGTTAAGGGTAATCAACCCCTAGGGAAAACAAGTAACCTGTAGAATGCTGTGTGGGTAATATTTTTTATATTGATTTTTGTTGCATTTGCAGCAAATAGTTACCAAACAATGAGAAATCTATAGGATTGAATATACCCCACAGCTGGCTTCACATGCATACATGTAGTTCAAGCCTGCCTAACCAGGATTTAGTTACAGCACCTAGGCGGTATGTGGTTACAGCTTAATGTTCGAGTAATCGCAAGAAATTGACATGACAATAGAAATTCATTAAAGACTGGCACTCCCATGCAATTAACAGCGAGTGAAATTCCTGGGATTGAAATCACTGATGTAGGCAACGAATAACT